AAGACGTAACTTACTGTAATTGTAAGGTAATAGCTCTATGTAAGACGTAACTTACTGTAACTGTATGGTAATAGCTCTATGTTAGATGCAACTTATTGTAACTGTATGGTAATAGCTCTATGTTAGATGCAACTTACTGTAACTGTATGGTAATAGCTATATGTAAGATAATGTTCAGAGCTTTTATGTCACTGAACAATAATAATAAATGTAAATGCTTCTAATGCTAAAGTTAGGGTAAAATCTGCAGTTATTAAAGTGCAGTTTTCAAATATTTTTACCTAATAAAACTATGTGATATAAGTCCACATTGTTTATAACATACATTTATAATGTATATTATTTAAGTGATCAGAAAACAACCTCACCATTTTTCAATATGTTCATACCTGAGACAATTTCTTGCAGTTTTATTGCTCATAACAGACTACTACTACTTCCCTGTAAACATTAGGACAGAAAGCTTATTTTCTGAGAATGCAATAAAATCAAAACTATATAAAGGGCTATTATGCTCATAAAAACTTCTTCATTTTAGGAGTGTGTTTATATTTTACTCTTAATACAGCTAGTAATAAACTTAGCAAAAGTAAAATCAATTATAATTAACAAAAAGAAAAACAACTCTTGAAAGTTACTTTTCTCCAGTTTCTGGATCTTTCTTCCAGTGGCCGGCAATAGCTGGTTCTTCCCTGTAATGAACTGGACTTGGGGGTTTCTCTAGATCCATTCTATGACGTTTATAGTGTCCAGGTAATCGATTTAATATGCTGCCAGATTTCCATCTTAAAGCATATCTTGCTGATGAAGCAGCCATAACAATAAAATACTGACTGCTAAGAAGGTATTAAAGTGATATTATATTACATTTACTTCATAAAATGGAAATATAAACACTAGGTCATGACCACAAGAAAATAAAAATTCTTGTACCTTATTGTATGCTTAGTATTATGAAGAAAGTTTTCAGTCAAACAAATCAATATTAAGTATATTTTTCCTTTGTATTTCTATGCTTATCACATTTTTCATGTATGTTTTAATTACATGTCAATGCATAAACATTTCAAGCTCAAAGGTTGATATATAAATTACATTTTAAAATTATTATCACAATTTACTCTTTGACCATAACAACTTTAGTATAAATGACACTAATGTATCTAAAAAACTTTTATAAAAAGCTTCACAAAACAAATGACTATATTTAATGTAATTTATTAATGAACATTAACTTTATAGTTATTATAATAAGAATGTATGATTATGTTTGACTAAAAGTAGAATGGAATAGAAAGTTATCCCTGTCTAAAAGTAAGCTTTAATAAGTTTCAACTCATATGGTCCTGACATGAGTGTTACATAAGGAATACTTCTACCTTACTTTACATTTTAGCACCATTTGCTGTATAATATGTAGTTTAGAAGAATCTTTCAACTTTCACATACAACAATTCTGTTACATCATACTGAGTTTGAACATATTCACTACAGAATGCATTTCTTATAAAAATTAAAGAATATCATCAAATTACACAACTGTAAATTGTAATTTTCATTTTATATGCATGTATGACAAGTCTTTACAAATATTTGTATTATTATTCATTTTGTTTCAAGTTTAATTTTATACTTGTGAAAAGTAAAGATTAGTACTTTCTTAAAAAACTTTTTATAACTTATATTTTTTTTTCATCCTAAATCTCTTAAAAATCCCAAAATCTCAACTTTCTATTTATGAATCTTATCACCTGAACACGAATTTTATAGCAATATGTTAATACACAGTTTTATGTAGCTTAATAAATTTTAACCAAGAAGATAATATGTAATTCTGATCATTTATTCTAAAAATGTTATTTCACATATTATTAACAAAATTCTTTCATATTGTATTTTATATTAATTTTCTATTCCTATTGGGCAAAAAACACCAAAAAAAAAGGATTAATATTTTGTTTGAACTGAGTTTTTCTATTTAATTATAAATAATGCTGTCTTAAGGCTAGAGAGAGTATATGTACTACAAAAAATAGGATTAAATATATAACTAAAAAGCTTTACATGCTTTTTGCTATACTTGTTACACTGGGAAAGGAGAAATAAATTTTCTTTCATTTTGCAATGCAAACACAAATGTGAAACACTCATTTATAATCTTGCTCTTAAATTTTAAGGTTTTCATCCTTCAGTTCAACTTCTTCTCTACTACTAGTACTAGACTCTAGTTTCAACATATATGTTATAACTGATATAAATACACAACACACTGGGAATTATTTTTCGACTAACAGTAACAATTAACTAATTACTCAATTAGTCTTTTCAGTATTAAACAGTTAATTTAAATTTTAATACCTCAGTTCTAAAGCTCAATAAAAGTAAGTTTCGGTGCAATTAAAATACACAGTATTAAATGAATTAATCAACAGTTTACAGTTCTCGAAGAATAAAATTAAACAAGTTTATCAATCAAATTAACAAATCACTTACTCCTAACTTCAATCCTAAAAATATCTTATTAAAGATTATCTTGCCTGTTGATAATGTTCCAGCAGCGTCATCTGTCGCAGAAACGAATTCCTGCGAGAAACCTAAGTATAGATAATAATTAGTAAACAAAACACCAAAATACACAAATACGAAGACAACTATGACAGTTACCTCCTTTATGGGTCAAACTTAAAGCAATGATGCCCTGAAAAGCACATTTTATTTATCCTCGATAACATGAAGAACAAAAATTCAATATGATATCGAGATTGTGTTATAACATAATGACAACTATGATGCAAATGCAACAACTCGTCAGAAGAATTACTTGGATTTTGAATATTTAATTTTCGAGAATGGGTTTTTTTTTCTTAGTGCAAAACTACACAAAGGACTATCTACTTTCTGTTCTCCGCGGGAAATCGAACCCCGGACTTTAGCACTGTACGTCAGTAAATTTATTACTGATCCAATGGAAAACTAGATCTAGGGTGTTATTCTATTAAAATGATATTCTTTTTAATAAAAGAAAATATAAAACTTTTCATTAAGGTATAACAAGATGTTGCTTTGGATTTTGTACACACTATCAAAAATTATTTAACCTTTGAATGATGTTTCTTTAAAATATTGCTGGGACAAAAATATATCTGAATGGAAGTACGTCACGTTTTCCCCCTCTTATATATACCCGCCTACCCCATCTAGTAAATACTAGAGCATTCATGGAGAAACAAGATAGTTCTAGAAACTAGAGGGCGTCACACCAGTCAGGTGACCTCGATGACGCAAC